TTATGTTTAATGTATGTACCAAATTTGAACAAAATCCGTCCATGCATAACTGAGATCCGGGTCCGGAATGGTGAAAATGTGCGATTTTGATGCATTTTCGGCCTTAAAATGGCCGCTATTCGGCTATCGTTAATGAGATCATGAAACAAATGCACATACATATTTGTGACATGATGTACCTTGTGTGTGTGAAGTTTGAACTTGATCAATCCAGACATGTCTCGGATACGGATCCAGAACTGAATTCTTTAAAACAAAATGGCCGCCAGTCGGCTATTTCGCCGAAAAAAAAAATGACGTGCATCAAGGTCCTATTATGTTTAATGTATGTACCAAATTTGAATGAAATCCGTCCATGCATAACTGAGATCCGGGTCCGGAATGGTGAAAATGTGCGATTTCAATGCATTTTCGGCCTTAAAGCGGCCGCCATTTGGCTATCGTTAATGAGATCATGAAACAAATGCACATACATATTTGTGACATGATGTACCTTGTGTGTGTGAAGTTTGAACTCGATCAATCCAAGCATGTCTCAGATACGGATCCAGAACTGAATTCTTTAAAACAAAATGGCCGCCAGTCGGCCATTTCGAACCCGATCCAAAAAAAAAAATGACGTGCATCAAGGTCCTATTATGTTTAATGTATGTACCAAATTTGAACAAAATCCGTCCATGCATAACTGAGATCCGGGTCCGGAATGGTGAAAATGTGCGATTTTGATGCATTTTCGGCCTTAAAATGGCCGCTATTCGGCTATCGTTAATCGGATCATGAAAAAAATGCATGTGCATATGTCCCATATAAGGTGTGATGTATGAGTGAAGTTTGAACTTAATCGGTCCATGCATGTTCGAGATACAGGTGATCACGGACGCACGGACGCACGGACGCACGGACGCACACAGGGCAAAACATAAGTCCCCGTTTTCGGACTGCGTCCGAATGGGGACTAAAAAGTATACTGTGGTACAATGTAATGTAATACAATGCACTGTTTTAATTTCATTCCATTTAAATGTTGAAACGTGTTACATTGTATTAGGCTCAGCACAAGATCACCTGTTTAGTAAAAAGTGATCTGCTCTATTATGTTGTTTCACCTGATTTGAATCTTACTTGATTCATACTACTGTGGAATACTTTCGCTTGGAATTAATTTTCACTGAAAGAATGATTCAGTGAAAATAATATTAATTCCAGCTAAAATAAAGTATTTCACAGTACTCTGAGAAGTCTCTCAGCTTGAACTACTCCTATAAACACAGTGAAAATAGTATAGAAGTATTCAAAACCTTTTTTTCAATAAATCATAAAAACTTACTTCATCAATGATGTCTTGTGTAAGTGGTAATACATCCGCATTGCTGGAAACAAATAAAAACATTGTTATACTCTCTATAGTTGATAAGATGATAAATTCTACAAAAGACGAACATCTCATCAATGACCGATTAAAACATTTCAACCACAAGACGATTTTCTGTCGTGTTCACCTGACTAGAGTGATGAAGAGGAAGTATCACTTACCCATACTGCAACATGACTTTTAAGACATCAGGTGACTTAGGAAACCAATCAAGATGTCTTAAATTATGGGATATGACATCAATCAAATAATCACAGTTCTTACAAATCAAATCTTCTATAGAACTACAAAAAAAGAAGTCATATAGCTAGTCTTCCCATGTATCCCAGAATATATGGTTAGAATATAATGTCTTGTGTACTGAAGGTCATGGGTTTGAATCCTACAGTTTGCAATTTTTCAATTGCTTTTACATAATTTTTATGTTGCTTGTGAAAATATTCTAAAAATTACCAATTTGAGATCATTCTGTTTTTTGTTACCATAGTAACCATAAATTTGAAATTAACTAAACTTACCTATATGCACAGCTTTTGCAAATAGCAATCAGACACAAGTAGGCTGTTTGACTAGAAAGAAAAACTTAAAAACATTTATATATATCCAATATGATTAAATATGTTCTAATTTTTTTTTTTTTGGCACTTAATTCATGTTTCTTTAATTGTAAAATCATCACAGATATCAACTCAGCATGGAGTCACAATTAAATCTTGCAATTTGTTGTCAAAATTTGGATATATGATGCCAGTGCAGTGGAAGTGAAAACATTCTCTGATTGGTTGAATAATTTATTCAGTGGTGATTTAATAGGTGATTTTCCGGATAATTGCGAGATCTCGCGAGATGCATGAAAGACATGCGTCGAACGTCTGCCTCAAAAAACGATTTGATTTTGAACTAGAATTTCTTTATTTCGTAGCTTACATTGACCGGCCGATCTTCGACAGAGGAACATTGCTTCCGAATACCCTTACTTTAATAATCGAAATTGCCTATCATCAAATGTGAACAGCACATTATTAAGCATGGAAATGTCCCCGAAATACTTTCACGTTTGTCGAATCCCACGCGATGTTTGACGCCACTACGACTCTATGACCTTTGTTTGTCCTGTTTTTACGTTCGATTTCACGCATAACGCGTGATTCTCGCAGTGAACGGAAAATGGTCTATTGATCAAAATCTCTTATTAATTGTTTTAAATAGAAAGCTATACCTTATAACAGCAGTCTCGTCTCCCAGTTTCTCCATCACGGGATACAGTGAATCAATCAGAAGTACATTAAAGTTGCTGCCAAGAACCTGTAAATCATTATGATAAAATAAACTTGTTGTCAGTAGAAATAATTTAAATTTTTACAGGAAATTCATTGGTATTATTAGTTTACTTTTCTTTGGTTGTTCTCAGTGTTCATCATTTTTTCAAATTTATAATATTATATATAAACTCAGAACTGAACTATATTTGATAAGGAATTAACTTTATGTGAGATAATATGCCTGCCATGGACAGACGTACTATCAAATCAGCGCTGAATCTAAGAAAGCAACTCCTATTTTTCAATATATCTGGAAATAAACCCTAAATTTGGAGCCAACAAATGCAATTTGAGTCAATTATTAATTTGTACTCAAAAAATTTTGCTATTTTTGTCCCAATCTTCTAAAGGAAAGCACAGACAACAAAACGTGACTATTTTGTGAATTTGTGATGAAAAGAGGGAACTAGTGGTGAAAAGGTGAAGATGCATCATCAATAAGTGTAAGCATAAATTTTGGGTATTGTTACAAATCTCAGTTCGTTTGACATCCTCAATATTCTGTAGACTACGTAACTCCATGTTCCTTGGATATGTTCACATATGTTCTATCCACATGGACAGCCCATCAGATGACATGATCACTTAATTTTGATATTATAGTAGTATAAAACAGTCAAAATTATGTTAGTTACTTGTATATAACGACCACCTGTCTAATTGGGCTAGTTTTAATTTATTTTAATGAAGACAAACAAGCATATTTTTATTTATTCCTGGCTTTAAAAAACTGTTTTCAAATTGTTATTCATGAATTATTCATTCAATCTCCTTATGCAGGCCACTAATCTATTATGACAATATCTTTAAATACTCTTGGAGGGCGCTATACACAAGTGTGACTGTATGAATACTTGTAGTCATATAAAGAAGAAGAAAATTCTCACCTTTGCGAAGACACCAACACCTTCTAATAAGAGACATATCTGAAGTATGTTACTATTCAAAGTACCCAATGATAGTTGATTTGTCTTCTGTGATAAGACTAACAGCCTATCAGACACACTCTTTCTTGATGAGGCAACTTCTGATTGGCTACTGGTCACTAGGCGCCAGTTGGATGGCGAAATATACTCCTCAAGCAAAGACCTAATAATTGTCATTCAAAAAAGGTTGTCATTACAACAAGATATATGTCAATAGTATGAGCAGCGAAATCACCACTCACTTTATCATATTTTTTAATTTTATGTTTTAAATGCGAGCACTTCTGGTTTCGAATTTCTAAGTACATAGATAAATGTCACGTGTCAAGAGATTTTTTTTGTGAATATTAAAATCAAACGAGACTATAATATTCCGTTAATTAATTTTATTAATTAATATTATTTAAAAAACAAACAGATTTTTGTCCTTCATTTGTAAGTTTCTGTTGATTTTGAGCTTCAGTCCCTCTAATAACCAACCTGACTATGCTCTCCAAGTTCCTTTTGTCCCTGGAATCCCTGGATGGAGTAGTGACATCATCACATGAAGCAGTGACATCATCACATGAATCAGTGACATCATCACAAGAAGTAGTGACATCATCACATGAAGCAGTGACATCATCACCTATAGTCCCAAGTAGAATTTCATTGATGATTAAAGTGACTTGTTTTCTGACTGTATTTGACTCTCTGAATTTATCCACAAAATGGTCGGTTAGCAGCTGAATATTACCTGAAGAAGAAAAAAATATTATTGAGAGGACGTCGACTACATCACAAACAATGAAATTTAAGGATGTAGTAGACTTTTGTTGGCCAAAAAACAGAAAAAGCTTGATGAAAATAATAATAATGATTTATGACTAACAATTTTTACATGTTGTTGTAGCCCTTGCAACACTTTATCCAAAAATTATGATAACACTAATGTCAATGTTAATTACATCATGTAACTGCTAAATAATCAAAATCGATTGTTCTGCTACTTTTACTGCGTCTAGAAAACGAAAACAGTTAGCCAACACATTTTTATGAGAAAATGAGACTACAATGTTCTCAACTAAAATGTAAAAGAGATAGTTTCTGAATTGTTTGGTTCTTTTACAAAGTGGTGGAGAAGAATTCTGTAATTAATTAGAGTGTTCTGTTTTCACAGGTCAATTAATAATGAAATATTACTGATACTTGAAAACAATTTTACATTTTGTTTTCAATTGATCTTGTGTTCAATCTCTGAAAATATCAATGAAATTGGACAAGAACTGTTTGCGTAATCGTGATTTTTGTGGTTTTAGACACGTTATATTTCAAAAAGGGCTGAAAAGACTCAAAGTAGCACAGTCGAGAGGATATTTTCTGTTCAGCGCATTGTATTCAGTTATTTTTTGATGTTTAAAATAGCTATTGTGTTGGTTTTATAAAAATCAAAACAACCCGTTTGGTACATGGCCGATAAAGTTATGAAAAAATTGATAATTTGAAAAAAGCAACGTGAAAACGAAGTATGGCCGCCCTTGAATCAACAGTGTAATCCCGTTATCAATTTAAATGTATTTGCTTGACAAGCTTAGTTTTGAGTGTTATACAATATCACAACAAATTTGGCAATTGTTTATGTACAAAACGTGATATGTGACCGTTAAACTTGAACACTGTCGTGTCTATGCTCCCTTTTCGCAACTTTCTCGTAAACCACGGCACCTGAACCACACAAAAATGTCATCAAAGCAGAACTATATAATGAGATGCGAGTACTCGGTACTTTTATTTTTACTAAATACCGTCGATGAAACTTTTGTTGTTGAATATCAATTAAAAATCGTAATTTAAACAAAAAAGGGCCTACTATTTACTGACTGAATCCGCTTTGAAGCCAGTCAGTCAAGCTTGCCGACAACACTGTCATGAATTACAGGTCGTCGTTTTGCTCTATAACTCGTTACATTCGGAGTTTCGTTTAGTTTTTGTTGACTTGCAGTACTTGTTATACAATTATTACGAGCACAAAACAGTTTTCATTTCCACCAATGTACATGTAACTGCTTTGTCTATGAACCACCGATGCGTCACTCAAATTTGAAAGTCAGTCTGCCGTCCCACATGACACAATGAATCTGATTAGTCTATTTTTGACTACCTCGTATTCTTAGCCAATCCGTGTGCACGTGTTATGTTCGAAAGGCCGCATGTGCACCCAAGACTAAAGTGAGATTCCTAGCTATAACGAGATTCTTCATTGATAAATATTTTTTCCCTTTTTACACCGAGAACATATACAGTGGTCAGCCAGATTTGAAAACAATATATCCAGATTGACGAGCCTTGTGTTATTCGCTTCACCGGAAGCATTGTCAGATACTGCAGACTTCGCTGGCGATATTTTTCGTTTTTACATGCTCATCCTTTATGTTGATGTTGTGTCGTTAGCCTCCAGTGACAGTATAGTAGTGTCCTCATCGTCAGCATTCGAGGTAGTTACGGTGGTGTCTTCAGTCTCCGATGTGGAGGAGCAGATGTCACTTGGGTTTTCACTTAACTTGTCTCTCGTCGACTCATCCGACTTTGTTTCGTAGAGAGACTGTGTTTCGTGGTAAAAAATACGTTTTCTGCTATTCAGAAACTTGCAAGTTTCGCTTGTCATTGGAACACTTTTTTCCGATTTTTTTTCCTGTGCCATTTTTCAAAATAAACTTGGTCAATGAACAGTAATATATAGTAGAGAAAAGCGATGCGATGAACTATCAGCAACGAGTGAGTGCATCCAGTCATTTGACCGGAAGTGTATATGCGATGTTTATTTGCGGGATTAAGCTACCAATATTATTGTTTCGGCTCAGAGGGGCTTAGCTGAAGTGCACATTCCCGGGATTCCCGTTACTTGTAAATTATTTTTTAAAAAGCCATTTTTTCTTGAAATAAAAACATGATTTAATAAAAAAAACAAGGTTGTATGGCTGTCTATAGGTATAAGTCACCGTTTGATAAAAGAAAAAAAATGAAAAAAAAAATCACCACGAAAGTCTACTACATCCTTAAATCAGTTGAATTTGAATAATGACTGAACATGAGACGAGCACAAAATAAATCTCAAAATATGAAATTTTGATTTGTATTAACAATATTGAAAAGGGTTGTTGCAATTGTAGATTCATCTTGCTTTCAGTTATACAACTTCCACTCTGTAAAACCACAAACTTTGTGACGGTTTCTGCACAAACCATTTTCTGGAATGAAAAAAAAAATTTAAAAAACAACTTACCATGGAAACCTAAAAGTCTACAAATCTGCATTAAAATCTCAAATATTCTCTCATCTCTGAAATGCTTAAAATACTTAGTTCTTCTGCCTGGATAATGGTGACTGACTGTACGATCCACAACATCGAGACTAGAGTCTGACATTCCAGTATGAACAGGCAAATCTGTGATAACAAAAAAAATGATTCAGTAACAATATCGGAAATATTACTGTAAACTGATTTTATTTTGTGAGTAACAAATTTCAACAAATTTCACAAGTCAGTGAAAAGCATGAAATTTTGTAGCAGTAAAAATTTATCTAATATTTTACGACATGTTTCCATGTTTCAGCAAAATCGCAAAATTTTTTCCTCACGAATGCCATAAAATCCTCAAATAGTGAAAATACCAGGAAAAAATAAACAGTTTACAGTAATTTCTATAATTATTTTGTTATTTTGGAACCAAATTGACATAATATCCATTGACTACAGGTTTTGATCAAAATTTTGTAAAAATATGATTTATTTTGTGAAAGGTGACAAAAGTTGACTTTGGGGCTCAAATGGTTAATGATATGCAAATTACCTAATTAATATGCACAGATGGTATATAGAACTATTTTGTGAATGGTGACAACAGTTGACTTTTGCACTCAAATGGTTAATGATATGCAAATTACCTCATTAATATGCACAGATGGTATATACCAGGGGGTAGAACTATTTTGTGAAAGGTGACAAAAGTTGATTTTGCAGCTCACAGGGTTAAAGGTTACAATAAATACATACAAGGCAATGGGCATGTCTCATACATATGGTCTTCTTCTTTAGACCAAACAATCAACAATCTTTCTAGTTAAAACGTTTTTGCTCACCAGATACGATTTTTTGAGCATCTGAGTTGTTAGCGAGAGATTCAATTTATACTGTTTCACTGACTGCATTCATGATATAAAGTTGTTACAAGTAATATACTGATTCATGTATGCCGTAATCAGATTCACATTATTGTAGTATATTTTACTTGATCAACTTACGTTTGATTTTGAAAGTGTTGTCCAATTTACTATCACTTTGATATTGGTGAAGGACCGATTACAAATGAAGTGTCGCTTCTTCTGTATCATTACGATTTTTGTTAGAAATTTATGCAACAGCGTGATATGTGAAGAGGATCACACGCAAAATGCAACATGATCACAAAATTGCAAGAGAAACTAATTAATACGTCTGTAAACAAACTGCAAGGTTTGAGTTCATCTCAGAAAGTACTCTTGGTAGTGTCTTATCTTTGCTTATTCGCAAAGCGTGTAATATGTACATTTTTTACGTTTTTCAAATGCGATGATAATCCTGCTCACTTCTGTTTATGTAATCGAACATTTCCAACACTCACTGCATTCATTCTGTGACGCTATTGATTAGAACTACATTTGGTTAGAGACTATGAATTTGAAGCACTTTCTATTGCAAGTATCGCTTTTCATGATATGTTCATCACATAACCCTGTACATGATTATGGAGATTGCATACCCTTATATCATATAGTCTGCTAGATAACTTGCCTGAAAAAGGTGTCTTTTCTTCCACTATCTTGATATCACTTGTATCTAACTCCAACACTTGAATCAAAGCGGTCGATAATCTCCTTAAATGTGACGCCGAGTACAATAATGAATTCACTTTATCGCCTACAAAGAGAACTATTGTCATTGTCAATAATCCTGTCATGAAAAAAAAAATGATGTGCATGAAGCCTGGCAATTGTGGTAAGATTGAGAGCACAACAAAATGGCCACCAGTCGGCCATTTTCAACGGGATTGAAAAACAAAATGATGTACATAGAGTCACAAGATTGCAAAAATCATAAAAAATTTAGGATAATGCAAAAGACTTGACTTGCCCAATAATTTGAGGTATCCAAGAACTAAATTCAATGTTGATAACTTCTGCGAATCATCTGTAAGAAACAAATAAAAATATATTGAATATACTGTACAATACTTTATTTTCGCTTGGAATTAATTTTCGCTATTTTCAAAAAAATAAAATCCAGTGAATATACGTTTTTTTCTATATTTTACATCCAACTTATCAAAATTCAGTGAAAATCAATTCCATACAAAACGTCCAAAAAGTCTTTTCAGCGAAAATTAATTCCAGCTAAAATAAAGTATTTTACAGTAATTGAATAAGTTTAGTTTTAGCAAGTAAAGTCAAAGCCGGATAACAAACAAGGGCTCCCACATGTTACAAAAATAAAGATTGTGAAATATATGAATTGTAACCATCCTAAGAATGAAACTATCCCTGTCAAGACTGATAACTGTTGTGACAATGGTGACTTTACATTAGGAGATTGAACATAGACGACCGTTGTAATGCCGGAGAAACCTTTCGGACGGACATAATAGAAAAAAGAACTAAATGTCTAAGAAACGGCTTCAGACATACAAATGAAATAAATAAATGATGTTTTCAGACTGAGACTAAAGATATTGAAAAATATTTTGGGAAAGACGACAAATTTTGACAGTGATAAGTACAAAAGTTAACTTTCATCACAACATTGTGATTAAGACCTGTAACTAACAGAAAATTATATCCATTTGATCCGAAATGATCAAGAAATACTTAAAAAATATCATAGGCAAAATGTTGCATCAACATTGTAGCGATAAAAATTATTGTGCTCAAAGAGTTAAAACCTATTTCATTTAATGTCTATTATGTCAACAATCCTCTTTATATTAGGTGAACATACCGGCTGTCCTGATTAACCTTGGCAGTGATGTCATCAGTGTATGTAAATTTTCTTCTAAAATTTCAACCAATGTTTTAGAATTGGTTTGTAAATGGGACCTGGAGTACCTATCCAAAGCTTGTTGACTCGCTGTAGAGACTTGGGCATAGTCATCACCGACCAATCCCACTAAAATTTCCAGCTGTGATGACACACTATCTGACAAAGATCTAAAAAGCAAAGACAGACCTTGTATGGTTAGTAAGGATAATAATTTATTAATCATAAATCAGTATTAACCAGCGACTATCTTTGTGAAGACACAAGGATTGGTTATCGTTAACACTTTTAATGAACATTGATGATACATAAAATGATGCGATCAATATTATTTCAATTTTAATCATATTAAATTTGTAACTCTGTTAATCAGCAAGTTTCTGAATAGAAAAACTAGCTCTGATAAAGAATTGCATGATGGGAGAAATAGAAGTAATCTCCACACATTGGTATAAAAGCACCAAAACATTCAAAGACACGACAATAAAGTTATGTTTACGATTGATTTGATACAGTTTCTCAAACATAGGTTGATTCAAAGTTGACCCACATGAGTTCTCGCATGAAAACACATTCTACCGCCAATGTATTAGCATAGGGCAAACTACTAAACTATCGACCGTATCTTTTCAAAAAGGCCTGTATCTCGCATTTTTTACATCTTAAGAAAATAACTCCAAACACATTGTTTCTTTATCTTGAGTTTCAAAAAAATTTCTAATTGAAAAGAATCATTTTTTACTTTTTCCTCCAGAGACATGTAAAGTAATATCATAAGTATCTCAAAAATTTGGTCCGTGGTCCCCATTTTCTTTTTACACATGATCAGGTATAGCAATAAGTAATTCATTTGTAAAATATAAAAAAAAATTTAATGACTTACATGAACTTGTATTGAGTAGCCTTAACGGGAAGTGATCGTCCCACAGCGCGTGTTTGAATTTCATGTAAATACATGTAAACATAGTATTTTACAAGCATTGTAGATAGCGCTATGAGTCCTATATCGAACATGACACTGCGCGATGACCATCGCCAATTAAGTCATATAATAATTTGTTAATACCTCACCTTGTACAATTAAGTAATAATCGCTCAGCAAACTCCACCATAGCAATCCTTACTTTCCAACTGATATGAGTCCTCAAAATCACAATTTTATTAATAAGTATGTTCAGTTTTTTGCTGGTGTTTTTTACCCATTCTTCATTTCTCACAATTCGTAGTTTCTTGCCACGCTCCGAAGCTCCATCACTATTTGTATCCTCGGACTTGCCACCTTCATCAGTTTGTCGCTTCTCATCTGGAAATAGTTGGTTGCTTGACAACAGGTTTTGTAAAACTGCATCATTCATCACCATAGCAACAAATTTTGACCAAACATTTATGGCATTCTGTGTGGGAAATTAAAATAATCGACAATTGCACTTTGTATAGGTAGCAAAATGAATAAATGTTTTACATAGATTTACTATTATCCCCAATAGAAGTAGTCAAAATTAAACACAAAGTTTCCCAAAGTTATTACCAAAGTTCCCCAAAGTTGTTATCAGAGTTCCCCAAAGTTGTTATCAGAGTTCCCCAAAGTTGTTATCAGAGTTCCCCCAAGTTGTTATCAGAGTTCCCCAAAGTTGTTACCAGAGTTCCCCAAAGTTGTTATCAGAGTTCCCCAAAGTTGTTATCAGAGTTTCCCAAAGTTGTTATCAGAGTTTCTCAAAGTTGTTACCAAAGTTCCACAAAGTTGTTATCAGAGTTCCCCAAAGTTATCAGAGTTCCTAAAAGTTGTTACCAAAGTTCCCCAAAGTTGTTACCAGAGTTCCCCAAAGTTATCAGAGTTCCTAAAAGTTGTTACCAAAGTTCCACAAAGTTGTTACCAGAGTTCCCCAAAGTTATCAGAGTTTCTAAAAGTTGTTACCAAAGTTCCCCAAAGTTGTTACCAGAGTTCCCCAAAGTTATCAGAGTTCCTAAAAGTTGTTACCAAAGTTCCACAAAGTTGTTACTAGAGTTCCCCAAAGTTATCAGAGTTCCTAAAAGTTGTTACCAAAGTTCCCCAAAGTTGTTACCAGAGTTCCCCAAAGTTATCAGAGTTCCCCAAAGTTGTTACTAGAGTTTCCCAAAGTTGTTACCAAAGTTCCCCAAAGTTGTTACCAGAGTTCCCCAAAGTTGTCACCAGAGTTCCCCAAAGTTGTCACCAGAATTCCCCAAAGTTGTTACCAAAGTTCCCCAAAGTTGTTATCAGAGTTCCCCAAAGTTGTCACCAGAGTTCTAAAAGTTGTTACCAAAGTTCCCCAAAGTTGTTACCAGAGTTCCCCAAAGTTGTCACCAGAGTTCCCCAAAGTTGTCACCAGAGTTCCCCAAAGTTGTTACCAAAGTTCCCCAAAGTTGTTATCAGAGTTCCCCAAAGTTGTTATCAGAGTTCTAAAAGTTGTTACCAAAGTTCCCCAAAGTTGTTACCAGAGTTCCCCAAAGTTGTTACCAAAGTTCCCCAAAGTTGTTACCAGAGTTCCCCAAAGTTGTCACCAGAGTTCCCCAAAGTTGTCACCAGAGTTCCCCAAAGTTGTCACCAGAGTTCCCCAAAGTTGTCACCAGAGTTCCCCAAAGTTGTCACCAGAGTTCCCCAAAGTTGTTACCAGAGTTCCCCAAAGTTGTTATCAGAGTTCCCCAAAGTTGTCACCAGAGTTCTAAAAGTTGTTACCAAAGTTCCCCAAAGTTGTTAC